CAGAACCATCTTCGAGATGTGGCTAGGGGCGCTGTGAACCTACCGAGGCCGGCTGCACGACACATTGTAGCGCCAAGCCAGCGACGTACCCGGTCAGAGTTAACCATGATGTCAGCTACACCGGTGCTCTCACCACGACCACCATCGCGCTCCCGCGACTCAGCGAGCTGTCCGCCCTCAGCGCAATCCGGGATTGAGTGGAGCACGGTGAACTTCATCTCCCTATCTGATAATCGTCCAAGAGGCCGTTCGCACAGCCCAGACCACCAGCCCCTGCTTCGTCTCGATCCCCAGCTTGTCTGGATGCCGTAGATAGCCGTGCGTATCGTCACCGGCTGGTTTCCCCTGGTCTCAGCTATCTTCGCGTAGGACAGCCCCTGCGCAAAGAGCGTGAGTATCTCCCTTTCCCGCGCGGTCAGCCTCCTCACTCCGGTGTCCGCTTTCGACTGCGCCGTCCCTCGGATTCCAGCGAACACTCGTCTTATCACGTCGGCTGGTAAGCGGTACTCGCCCCTGTGCAACGTCGCGGACCGTGTTCAGAAGCCTATCCTTGCCGGAGTACTTCTGAAGGTATCCAGTCGCGCCAGCAGCTACCGCCTCCATGACAGCATCCTCTTCCGATGCGGCTGTCAGCATGAGCACTCTGGTGTCCGGGAGCATCTCAGTGATCTCCCGGCAGGCGTCGATGCCGTTCTTGAGAGGCATCATCACATCCATGACGATCACGTCGGGGTTGAGATTCTGAGCGACCCTCACCGCCGCCGCGCCGTCTCCGGCCTCACCCACCACCTCGAAGTCTCCGGCCCGTTGGAGCACCTCTCGGAGGCCGTCGCGCATGATCTCGTGGTCGTCCACGAGCATCACCCTGGTCTGTCTGTCCGCCGCCAAGCTACGCGCCTCCTCGTTTCGTGTCATACGGAACCACGCAGGTTACGGTCGTGCCGCGTCCCGACTCGCCCGGACCCACCTCGAGGCTGCCGCCCATGCGCTCGACGTCCCTCCTCATGTTCCGGAATCCGTGGCCGCGCTCCGCGTAGTCTTCGGGGAGGCCAATCCCGTTGTCGGCTACGGACATGCGGAGCCTGTCGGCCTCGAAGCTCAGCGCAATGGCGACCCTGTCGGCGCGCGCGTGCCTGAATGCGTTGGTCATGGCGTTGTGGGCTATCGAGAAGAGCAGCCCCCGTGTGACGGTGGAAAGCCACGGCTCCCTGCCGGACTGCTCCACCCCGGTGGGGATCGACGTGATCGTGGCGAACGTGGAGGCGTGGGAACGCAGCACCCGGCCGAACTCCCTGCCCTCGAAGATGGGTCCCGCGTCGATGGGATGCCTCAACTCCCACATGGTCGACTTCGACAGGGCATGGACCGCTTCCAGCTTGGCGATCAGTTCGTCGCGGCCGTCGTCGTTCTGGGCCTTCGCCAGCTCTATCGCGGTCTCGATGCCCAGGCCCATCATATAAGCGGACTGGGCGATGGTGTCATGAATAGTCTGCGAGAGTTCGATCCGCTCCCGCTGAAGCTCACCTTCCCGCTCCACTGCCTCTCTCCTTCTGATCCGCTCGAACCTGGAGACCAGGTTGACCGCCGCGACGACCGTGTACATGACGGCAATCCTGGTGAACAGTACCTTCTCCTCCTTGATCTCGTAGTCGACGCCCGGCTCCAACACCAGGCTCAACGCGGCGTACACGACCGCAGACCATGGTGACCCAGGCGAAGCTGAGCCTGAAGGAGGTGAACACTACGGCGAACATGGCGAGCGCGGGGTAGTACAGCACGAAGAAGGTGTTGTGGAATCCACTTGATGAGATGGCGATGCCCGCCGTAATCATCGCCCCGTCCATCACGCTGAGAGCCAGCGCCCAGCGCCACGTAACCGTCCGATGCGACTCGATGCGGTAGTGAACGTAGCCGTTGAGGGCCAGCAGCGATAGTGCAAACAACGTGGTCGGAATGTAGGCGGGGTCCGCGAAGTTGGGGCGGTAGTTGAACTGCAACAGCCAGGCCGTTAGAGAGAAACCATCGTACCCATACCGAAATCCTCAGGTTGTAGCGCAGGTCGTCCGGGTCGGTCCGATCGACCGCCCGGCGGGACTCTGCAACTGCATCGCGTGGCGTGGTCTGCAAATTCAAGCCTCGTCATTGCAATCAATGTACGCCGCTCGACGACGGCGGCAAGGTTCGATCGTACCTATTAAGACAGGTACAAATGTACCCCTCGCAATAGGTACAAACGAACCTTACGGCGCGTCATGCGGAAGGCTAGTGTAGACGCGAACAAGGAGTTCCAACGCCATGAGATTGCTTAGTGTAAGGCCGGGCGCCACGGTTCTGCTGCTCGTCGTCACCTTGCTGATAGCCCGTGCTAGCCTTTCTAACCTACACACACCTGCCGCCGCGCAAGGAACAGTTCCAACGGCGACGGCCACTCCTGACCCAACCGTGGTACCCACAGCGCGGTCGGACGTGCACGACGCCCAAGACCAATTAGGCGGCCTGTTCTCCCAGATTGAGGGCGACCCACCTCCCAGTTCCGATGTCGAGACTCTCGCCAGTCGCTTGGTCGGATCGACTTCGGACAGCTCGCTAATGCCATAGAGTCTCCGGTTGGCCCCAAGGACCCGGTAACGGGGATCCCCCAGACGCCTCACAAGCTTGTGCTGAACCTGTTTGCTGACGTCGTGCATCCCTGCGTGAGCGGGGGCGCCGTGGTGGATGCGACCAATGAGGGGCTGGTATCTGATTGCGGGATGCTGCTGGCGGCGCGGGACACGCTTGCGGGGACTGCCTCGCTGAACTGGTCGGCGGACACTCCTATCACGGAGTGGAACGGTGTCGCCCTCGGTGAAGCGTCGGGACGTGTGACCGAAATCCTCCTTGTTGGCATGGGTCTAAACGGGAGGATTCCGCCTGAGCTGGGCGGCCTGTCCAACCTGACGGGCTTTCGTTCCGGCACGGTTGACGGCGAGATTCCGCCTGAGCTGGGGCGGCCTCGTCCAACCTGACGGCAGGTGGTCTCTCGCGACAACGGCGGGTTGACGGGCGGCGCGAGATTCCGCCTGAGCTGGGCGGCCTGCCCCTGCCAACCTGACGGATGAACTGGTCTCTCGGGACAACGGTTGACGGGCGAGATTCCGCTGAGCTGGGCGGCCTGTCCAACCTGATCGGAGCTGGTCTCGCCGATCCAACGGTGGACGGGCGAGATACCGCGGAGCTGGGCGGCGGTCCAACCTGAATCGTGTGTCTCTCGCCGACCACGGTGTTGACCGGAGCGACGATACCGCCTGAGCTGGGCGGCCTGTCCAACCTGACGGACGCATCTGTCTCTCTGCGACAACGGTTGACGGGCGAGATTCCGCCTGAGCTGGGCGGCCTGTCCAACTGAATGCGGAGTGTCTCTCGCCGACAACGGGTGACGGGCGAGATTCCGCCTGAGCTGGGCGGCCTGTCCAACCTGACGGGCTGTGCTCAGCGCAACCGGTTGACGGGCGAGATTCCGCCTGAGCTGGGCGGCCTGTCCAACTGACGAGGTGAGGCGTCCACGGCATCCACCGTGGACGGCGCGATTCCGCTGAGCTGGGCGGCTGTCCAACCTGAGCGGATGTAGCTCTGCGACAACCGAGTGACGCGGCGAGATTCCGCCTGAGCTGGGCGGCCTGGCTGTACAACCTGACGTGTGGCTCCCAGCAACCAGTTGACGGGCGAGATTCCGGCTGAGCTGGGCGGCCTGTACCACTGACGGAGCTGCTCTCGACAGACAACCAGTGACGGGCGACGATTCCGACCTGCGCTGGCGGCCCGCCTGTCCAACCTGACGCTGTGCTCTGATCCAACCAGTTGACGGGCGAGATTCGCCTGAGCTGGGCGGCACTCGTCCAACATGACGGAGCTGGCTCTCAGCCGACAACAGTTGACGGGCGAGATTCCGCTGTGATGAACTGGGCGGCATGTCCAACCTGATGACGGGCGGTCTGGCGACACGACAACAGTTGACGGGACCGGACGAGATAAAGATTCCGCTAGAGCTGGGACGGCCTGTCCACCCTGGAGTGCTGTGGCTCTGGGGCAAGCAGTGACGGGCGGCGGATACGCCTGAGCATGGGCGGCCTGTCCAACATGACGGGGTGGCGTATCGCTCGACTAAACAGTTGGAGGGCGAGTGATCCGCAGAGTGGGAAACTGGGCGCATGGCCAACCTGAGGGGATGGTGTACCGCGCGGCAACCAGTTGAACGCGAGGATACGCCTGAGAGCTGGGCGGCTGTCCAAACGACGGGGGTCTGTGTCTTTGGGGCAACCAGTGACGGGGGAGCGATGCCGACTGAGCTGGGGCGGCCTGGTCCAACCTGACGTGACGTGTTTCTAGCCGGACCACGGGTTGACGGGCGAGATTACAGCCTGCGAGAGGAGGCCTGTCAAACCTGAAACGGAGCTGGACCTCGACCTTCAACCAGTTGACGTGGACGATACGCAAGGCGTTGCGGGGAGCTCGCCAACCTGACGGAGCGCTGTCGGTCTCTTTCACGCAACCAGTTGAGCGAGAGATTCCGCCTGAGCATGGGCGGCACTGTCCAACCTGACGTGTACGCTGTGGCATCTTTAGCGGCACCCAGTTGACGGGCGAGATTCGCCTGACGCTGGGCGGCCATGGCCACCCTGCAAACAGCTGTATCGCTTTATCGCCGACCAGTTGACGCGGGCGACTGATTCCGCCTGAGCTAGGGCGGCCATGTCCAACCTGGACACGGAGCTGTCTATCACGGCAACGGTTGACGGGCGAGATTCCGGCCTGAGCTGGGCGCGGCTCGCCAACAATGACGTGGCTGTACCTCGCCAGAACAACGAGTTGACGGCGAGATTCCCGAGCCTGAGCGGGGCGACCTGTCCAACCTGCCGGACTGTCCCTCGGCGTGGCAACGGGATGACGGAGCGTGCCCCGCCGAGACTGCGCGACCGCGTGCCCGATAATGACCTCGTGAGCGCTCGGCGGCACGTTCGGCAGCGATGCATCCCTGCGTGTTTAGCGAGGGGCCGTCGTCCGGCCGTCGTCCCCGACGCGCCCAAACACAGGGCATGATCTCCGACTGCGAGGCGCGGCTGGCGGCGCGGGACACGCTGCTGGGACCGCGGCGGCTGAAACTGTCGGCGGACACTCCTATCACGGAGTGGAACGGTGTCGTGACTGGTGAACGCAGACATGTGACCGAACTCTCATTGGTGCGTGGGTCCTAAACGGGAGGATACCGAAGGAGTTGGCAGCCTCGCCAACTGACGGATCTGTTCTACCGATGGGTTGCGAGATAGCGGAGATGATCTCGGGCGACTCAGGCGTGGGCTCCTGCACTACGGATCATGGTGCTTCCTGGTCTCCATTTACAAGGCCATCGGAAGGTGGAAGCTGTCACCTGGACGTGGTTGTGTGCTGGCACTTAATGATTACTGTGTCAACCGAGGGACAGCGAACTGCTGGTCGCTCTTCTTTGTGGGCACTCTGTAACCATTGGCGGGCGAGATTCCGCCTGAGCGGGGCACGCCCTGTCCAACCTGGCGGGCTGTGGTTCTCCGCCCTCACCATTTGACGGGCCGAGATTCCGCCTGAGCTGGCGGCCTGTCCAACCTGGAGGTGCTTGCTCTCGCGCAACCGTTTGACGGGCGAGATTCGCCTGAGCTGGGGCGGCCTGTCCAACCTGAACCGCTGTGGCTCCACGTCAACCAGTTTGACGGCGAGATTCCCCTGAGCTGGGCCGGCCTTCCAACTGGAGGCTGTTCTCAACGGCAACCGGTTGACGGTCGCGGATTTCCCTGCCGTGAAAGCTGGGCGGCCTGTCCACTGCTACAGGTTTGCTCCCGTCCAACCATTTGACGGGCGAGATTTCCCCTGAGCTGGGGCGGCCTGCCAACTTGGAGAGCTGCTTCTCAGCGGCAACCAGTTGACGGGCGAGATTTCCGCCTGAGCTGGGCGGCCTGTCCAACCTGCGACGCTGTGGCTCCGCGGCAACCAGTTGACGGGGTGCATACCCGAGGGGTTGCGAGACATAGAGGCGAATGATCTTGGGACCTCGATCTGCCCGACTGCACTACGGCTCACCGGGCGGCGCTGGTCGCCCTCTACAACGCCACGGAAGGGGGAAGCTGGACCACCAGGACGAACTGGTTGAGTGGACAGGCCCCTCGATGAGTGGCACGGCGTCACCACGGACAGCGGACGGCCGTGTCACTGCGTTGGAGCTCGCGGCAACCAGTTGACGGGCGAGATTCCGCCTGAGCTGGGCGGCCTGTCCAACCTGACGACGCTGGTTCTCCACGACAACCAGTTGACGGGGCGATTCCGCCTGAGCTGGGCGCCGTCCACCCCGACGGTGCTGGTTCTCTACTCAACCAATTGACGGCGACGATTTCCGCCTGAGCGGCGGCCTGTCCAACCTGACACAGCTGTATCTCGGCTCCAACCGGTTGACGGGCGAGATTCCACCTGAGCTGGGCGACCTGTCCAACCTGTGGGATCTGTATCTCGGCTCCAATCGGTTGACGGGCGAGATTCCACCTGAGCTGGGCGACTGTCCCAACACCTGACAGTCTGGCTCTCAATTTCACAGGTTGACGGCGCGATTCCGCCTGAGCTGGCGGCCTGTCCCACCTGAGGCGACTGGGACTCTACGACAACGGGTTGACGGGCGAGATTCCGCCTGAGCTGGGCGGCCTGTCCAACCTCGCGGAGCTGTGGCTGTGGAACAACCAGTTGACGGGCGAAATTCCGCCGGAGCTGGGCGGCCTGTCCAACCTGACGCGCCTGCTTCTCAACAATAACCAGTTGACGGGCGCGATTCCGCCTGAGCTGGGCGGCCTGTCCAACCTGACGACGCTGGTACTCCGCGCGACACACCGGTTGACGGGGTGCATACACCCGAGGGGCTGCGAGACTTGCGGGAATGATCTCGGGCGACTCAACCTGCCGACTGCACTATCGGCTCACCGGCGGCGCTGGTCCCCTCTACAACGCCACGGATGGGAAGCTGGACCACCAGACACTGGTTGAGCGACAGGCCCTTGTGGCGAAGTGGCCACGGGCGTCACCACGGAAACGGGGGCGACGGCCGTGTCACTGCGTTGACGCTCAACGGCAAACCGGTTGACGGGCGAGATTCGCCTGAGCTGGGCAGTCCTGTCCAACTTGGCAGCTGCTACTCACGGCAACCAGGTGACGGGCCGCGATTTCCGCCTGAGCTGGGCGGCCTGTCCAACCTGGAGGTGCTGTGGCTCCACGGCAACCAGTTGACGGGCGCGATTCCGCCTGGCCGGCCTGTCCAACCTGAGTCAGCTGTTACTCAGCGCAACCGTTGCGGGCGCGATTTCCCCCTGAGCTTGGCGGCCTTCCAACCTGACGGGCTGTGCTCTCTTTCAACCGGTTGACTGCGGATTCCGCCGCCTGAATCTGGGCGCCCTCCACTTGAGGATCGCTGAGCCTCAACGGCAACCAGTTGACGGGCGAGATTCCGCCTGATCTGGGCGGCCTGTCCAACCTGACGAGCTGTGGCTCCTACGCCAACCAGTTGCCGGGCGCGAGTATTCCGCCTGAGCTGGCGGCCTATCCAACCTGAGCGCATTCGGCTGCTATCTCGCACGGCAACCAGGGTTTACGGGCGCGATTCCGTCTGAGCCTTGGCGGCCTGTCACACCTGACGCGCTGCTTCGTCAATTCAAACAGTTGGACGGTGCGACGATTCCGCCTGGAAGCTGGCGGCCTGTCCACCTGACACGCGCTGTCTCTCCGGGAAACACCGGTTGACGGGTGCGGGGTGCGTGACGACGACGTGACGACGTGGGTCGCGATTCCGCCTGAGCTGGCGGCCTGTCCACCCTGACGCGCTGGTATCTCGCGGCACCAAACGGGTTGACAGGCGAGCATACGTCTGAGCTGGGCGGCGAGACAGCTGACGGCTGTCTCGCGGGACTCAAACGGCCTACTGACTGGTGCACTCGGCTCGCCGAGATTGCCGGGCGCTTATCGCCCTGCTACATGACTCCCGCGATCAGCTAGAATCTGGACCAGTCTGCAGCGAGCGCTGCGTTAGCGTAGGGGCCGCCCCCGACGCGTGGCACCCGGCGTCACCACGGACAGCGGCGGCCGTGTCACTGCGTTGAACCTCGTGCTCCAACCGTTTGGTGGGGGCGCTCCCGGCCGCGCTGGGCGACCTCACCAACCTGCGAACGCTGAATCCTCTGGAGCAACGACGAGTTGACGGGGCCGATCCCGGCCTGGCTGGGCGACCTCACCAACCTGCGAGCTGATCCTCGGGGGCAACGGGTTGACGGGCGAGATTCCGCCTGAGCTGGCGCTGCGCACCCTGCTCTTCATGGACGCAGCGTCGGATCTCTCTGCCGCCAACCCGTTGACGGGCGAGCCGATATCCGCCTGAGCTGGCGTCCTGTCCAACACTGACGCGGCTTTGTTCTAGCGACGGCAACCAGTTGACGCGGCGAGATTCCGCCGGAGCTGGGCGGCTGCTCCAACCTGACGTAGCGATGCTCCGGCGGCCACCAGTTGACGGCGAGATGTCCGCTGAGCTGGGCGCCTGACCAACCTGAAGCGGAGCTGCTCTCTCGCGCGGCAAACCAGTTGAATCGGCGAGATTCGCTCTGAGCGGCGGCAGTCCTAAACCTGACGGAGCGGTATCTCTGGGCGCGGCAACGAGTTGCACGGCAGAGATTCCGCCTGAGCTGGCAGGCCTCGGCCAACCTGCGGACCGGCTGTCATCGGCGGCACGCTTGTACGGCGAGATGCCCGCTGAGCTGGGCGCCTGTCCACACCTGACGGGACTGATTCTTCCGATCAACCAGTTGACGGGCGAGATTCCGCCTGAGCTGGGCGGCCTGTCCAACCTGACGGGCTGGTCTGCTCCGTCCAACCAGTTGACGGGCGAGATTCCGCCTGAGCTGGGCGGCCTGTCCAACCTGACGGGGCTGTTGCTCCGCGACAACCAGTTGACGGGCGAGATTCCGCCTGAGCTGGGCGGCCTGTCCAACTGACACGCTGTATCTCTACGACAACCAGTTGACGGGCGACGATTCCGCCTGAGCTGGGCGGGCCTGTCCAACCTGACAGGCTTTTCTTTCCGCACATGAGGGTACAGACCTAGGAGTTGGGAGCGTAAAAGGTGCTGTCATCTCGAGCCGACAACGAGTTGACGGGCGAGATTGCCGCCTGAGCTGGGCGGCTGTCCAACCTGACGGGCTGTCTCTCTCGGCGACACCACGGTTGACGCGAGATTCCGCCTGAGCTGGGCGGCCTGTCCAACCTGCCGGGCTGTACCTCGACGGCAAACCAGTTGACGGCGAGATTCGCCTGAGTGGGCGGCCTCGTCCAACTGCACGGCTGTACTCAGTGACAACCGGCTTACCGGATGTGTCCCGCCGAGATTGCGGGACGTACCTGATAATGACCTCGATCAGCTAGGGCTGCCATTCTGTCCGTTGTCGCCGCCTGAAGCTTCAACCATAAGCTCTGTCACATCCGAAATGGACTCAATCACAATATCGTGGACCACTCCTTTGAGCGACGGAGGATCAGACATTACTGCCTACGACCTGCGCCACATCGAGACTGACGACGACGAGACGGTGGATCCCAATTGGACGGTTGTGGAGGATGTGTGGACCAGTGGAGGCGACGCCCTGGAGTACACGCTCACCGGACTCACAGTCGGCACCGAGTACGACATCCAGGTGCGGGCTGTAAACGCCGTGGGAGACGGGCCCTGGTCGGCAACTGTCACTGCAACGCTAACCACCGTGAGCACCTGCGCTGCGGGAGTCGCGGTGCCAGATCCGACCAGCAACCCCGGTCTGGTGTCCGACTGCGAGTCACTGCTTACGTTGCTCGACACCCTGGTGGAGGGCACTGTGTTGAACTGGTCGGCGGATATCCCGATCAGCGAGTGGGACGGGATTGAAGAGGATTCGCTGGAAGGGACGCCGCCGCAGGTTGTCAGGCTCTATCTCGGTGGGCTGGGATTGGACGGTGTGGTACCCAGCGAGCTGTCCGGTCTGACAGAATGAAGGAGCTGGTACCTCCAGGACAATGATCTGTCCGGACCGGTCCCGGTCGAGTGGGCGACCTGTCGAGCTCACCCACCTGCACCTGCAGAACAACGATCTGACGGGAGCATACCGGCAGAGCTGGGAGACCTCGCTGTACGAGGAGCTGCGGCTCGACAGCAACGACCTGACCGGCCAGCTTCCCCCAGAGCTGGGAAGCCTGATCAGGGTCACTCGCCTCTGGGTGGCCGACAACGACCTGTCCGGCTCCATACCGGCTGAGCTCGGCGATGGCGAACCTCGATTGGCTGAACCTGGGGCGGAACACTTCAGCGGCCAGATTCCCGCTGAGCTGGGCAACCTGTCGCGGATGCGGCGGCTCTACATCTACGAGAACGACCTGTCTGGGCCCATACCCGGAGCTCTGGGCAGCCTGTCGCGGCTCACACACATAGTGGCCCAGGCGAACGACCTGAGCGGCGAGATACCTGAAGAGCTGGGGAGCCTGGCGAACCTGGTGTGGATGGGTCTCCATGACAACGACCTGACAGGCGAGATACCTGCGGAGCTGGGCGGTCTTGCCAAGCTGCAGCGTCTATACCTGACCAACAACGAGCTGTACGGGGAGGTACCGGAGGAGCTTGGGGACCTGTCGGCGCTGACCGACCTTTGGCTGAACCACAACTACCTGTCGGGCCAGATTCCACACTCACTCGACAACCTGGACAAGCTCAGCAGGCTGAGGTTGGCTGGCAACAGGGCTCACGGGTGTCTGCCCGCGGGCCTGGCCGCCGTGGGTAACAGCGATGCCGACCAACTGGGTCTGGAGACCTGTGCAGACCCGCCGTCGGAACCGAGTACGGAGTACAGGAGAAGACGGCTCCGAGCCGTTGCACCTAAGCAGGCAGCGACGGGCGACTGTGCAACTGGAGGCGCGGTGCCCGACGCGGCCAACAACCCCGGCCTGGTGTCCGACTGCGAGGCGCTGCTTGCGGCGCGGGACACCCTGGCACGGACAGGTTCGCTGAACTGGTCAGCGGATACTCCCATCACTAAGTGGGATGGCATCACAGTGCGAGGAACTCCGATGTTCCGAAACTTGGCGTTCGCCATGCGATGTGTCCAGTGTGGGCATGAGTGGGATGTACCGCGACCGCTGGACTACCCGAAACTCATGTCCATTCCGATAACCGTCGGTCGCCTGAAATCGGGCTACCCCGCGCGCACAGCGGGCCAACGCGCGACGGAAACGACGGGGTAGGGGCTTGGGGCCTCGGCGCCCTCTGCCGTTCGTTACGGTAATGGCGTAACGGTGTGCGGCGAGCCTGACAACGGCGGGCGGGCGGTATTAACTGACGCGACGCCGACGGAATGTTAGTTCCGACGGCGCCACTTCACGCCCGGAGGCACCCGGACATGCTGTTTGATTCTACCATTCTTGACGACCTTTCAGCCGGGATTTCCCATATTGGGAGTCTCCAAGCTCAAAGGGCAATCCAAACGAGATGGTGGCATCATAGTCAGGTCCTGCAAGGCCAGGCAAACTCCGGTCTATCCAATAAGGGATGCGATTCTCGCCGTGAACCATGCTTCTTGTCCGTCTTTGTCGTCTTCAGGTCCCCCGCCAATGGGGTGAAAGCGCATTGAAGCGAGGAAGTTGCGCTCCTCGATGCTGTCGAGCTCCTCGATGTGTAGGGCGTTGTCGAGCTTGGAGTCCTAGTAAGCGATTCGAATGGGTGGAAAGGGGGGTAAGGAGGTGGGGGGTTTTCGACGTGTGGGTGGGGTTGGGTGATTAGGGGGGGAAGGGGGGGTTCTTGGTTGCGGGTTTGTTCGACGTTTCGGGGGGGGGGTTTGTTTTTTTTCTGTTTTTGGTTAGTGTAGGAATCGACTCAACTATGGAGATTCGCGATCAGTGGGGATCTGTTCCCACAATCATACGCGTAGGCGCGTGTGAGGGCCTCGATGTGGTGTGGCCATGGTCGTCTCGTCCGAGCCGTGAGCGTGCAAGACGATCTCCGCCGCTGCCCTTGCGTCCTCCGCCGCGTCGTGATGCTTGAATGATATCCCGAGGTCCGCCGCAATTGTCGACAGCGCCCATCGGGATCGGTACTTTCGCGGCCAAGCGCGACGCGCAACCATCGCGCTGTCGAGCCAAGTCACAGGAAGCGGGTTGAGGCTGTACTTTTCTGTCGCCCCTTCGAGCGCGACGCGGTCAAACATCGTATGACTTACGAGGGTCATTCGGGCTAAGCGACGGCAAAGTTCGTCGTAAACCCGAGGGAAGGCGGGGCTGTGTTTGATGGTCTCCTCGTCAATGCCGTGCAGTCTAACGTTGAAGAGATTGAACCGCTCTTCAGGGTTGACTAGGATAGACATCCGGTCCGAGGATCACATCGCGTTTGCGACATAGAGCGATGGCCCGATGTGAGCAAAGTGCTGGCGGCGGACTCGCGTTCGCAGTCTCGACGTCGATGGCGTTGAAGGTCAAGTTGTTCACGGGTGTCCTCAGTCCGCCGTGTTGGGAATCGTAGTCTACCCGCATCAACCGTTTCGCGCATGGCTCCCTGCATGGCGGGGGAACTCTGCGTGAGACAAGAGCAGGACCACATGACTGACGGAAGAAAGGCACGACACCGCTATACTCGATATCACTGGGCAAAATCGGACCGAAAAAACCAGGGACGCATTCACCTGCTCGAACACCACCTCGCCGACGTTGGCACCTGCTTCGAGGCCCTGATGCGCCAGCCCACCATCAGGAAACGGCTCGCCTCGACGGGCGGCCTCAACGACCTCAAAGAGTCGCTCGTCGCCCGGCTCTCGGTGTTCGCTGCCCTCCACGACATCGGCAAGGTGAACATGGGGTTTCAAACGCAGATATGGAAGCCCGAGGAGCTGCCGGGCAGGCGGCCCATGCAGTTTCGTCGCGTTGGTCACACCTTGGACTTGACGCCGGTCTTGACATGGAAAGACGAGACGACAGCCGCCTGGTTCTTCGACGCGCTGGGGTGGTGGTACGACGCCACAGAGTCATGGGACGACCGCGGCGGCGAGACCGTCTGCGCGATGCTCGTCGCCACGCTCTCGCATCACGGCAGGCCCTTGCGGCTGGAAGACAGCCGGTCCGAGAACCCGGCCATCTGGCGCAAGTTCGGCGACCTGAAGCCCGAGGACTGCGTCAAGCGCGTCGGCAACCTGCTTCGCCTGTGGTTCCCCGCGCGTTCACGCCGGGGAGGATCGACCCGCCGTGCGATCCCCGCCTTCCAGCACATGTTCTTGGGCCTGTGCAACTGGGCCGACTGGATCGGCTCGAACGAAGAATGGTTCCCATACGTGGATGCACCCCAAGACGACTACATCAAGACTGCGAGAAAGCGGGCCAAGCAAGCCGTCGACGCGATAGGGTTGGACCTCTCAGACCAAAGACGCGACTTCAAGCGCGCGACCGAATTCAGGACATTGTCGGTATCACTTCGGCGTTCGCCCACGCCAGACACGAAAACCGCGTAGTGACACGCCGATGCGACCCGGGCGAAGCCTCGTCCCATCAACATCCATCGAGTCCGAGACCGGATCCGGCAAGACGGAGGCCGCGCTCTGGCGGTTCGCCCACATGTACGAGGCGGGACTGGTAGACGGCCTCTACTTCGCCCTGCCCACACGCTCCGCCGCAGTACAGATACACGAGCGCGTTGAACGCTTCATTCGCAATCTCTTCCCGCGCGGTGTTCCCCCCGTAGTGCTCGCCGTGCCCGGCTACGAACCCGGCGTCGACGCGTCGAGCGTTGCAATGCAGGACTACGAGCCTTGGTGGGAAGACCGGCACGACGACGACAGGCCATGGGCGTCGAAGAGCCCCAAGCGATACCTTGCGGCGCAGATCGCCGTCGGGACGGTGGACCAAGCGATGATGTGCGCGCTCCAAGTCAAGAACGCGCACATGCGGGCCGCGTGCCTCGCCCGGAATCTCCTGGTTGTCGACGAAGTGCACGCATCCGACACTTACATGAGCGTCGTTCTGGAAGCGCTGATCAATGCCCACGTGCGCGCGGGCGGCTACGCCCTGCTGATGTCAGCCACCTCGGCTCGTCGGCGCGCCATCGCTGGCTGCATCACGGCCAGAGACTTGACTATGATATCCCGCTTGGCGAAGCCGAAGACGCTCCCTACCCCGCCGTCAGCATATCGGATGGCCGGGACGACAATCTCATAGCGGCGGGCGAGAACGACCAGGGGAAGACGGTGTCCGTCGAGGCGAGTCCGACCATGCACGATTTCGAGGACACGGCACGACGCGCGTTGACTGCGGCCCGCGCCGGCGCGAAGGTCTTGGTCGTTCGCAACACCGTCGACCACGCGGTGAAGACTCAACAGGCTTTGGAAGAGCGGGCTGAGGCGGGTGACGCCGGACTCCTGTTCGATGTCGAGGGCATACCGACGCTCCAGACGCTCCATCACGGGCGCTTCGCCGCCTGCGACCGTGCGCTGCTCGACAAGCGAATAGAAAACCTGCTTGGGAAGGAACGGCAGCCCGGCGGCCGCGTCGTCGTCGGAACCCAGACGCTCGAACAGTCCCTCGACATCGACGCCGACCTGCTCATAACCGACCTGTCCCCCGTCGACGTCCTCCTCCAGCGCATCGGCCGCCTCCACCGACACAAGAACAACAACCCGAACCGGCCACGCGACTACGCCAAGCCGACCTGCGTCGTCCTGACGCCCCCGGACGGCCTAGCACCGCTGCTCAAGAGCGGGCAAAACCCCAACGGACTCGGTCCGCATGGTGGCGTGTACGGGAGCCTCAGCATACTCGAGGCCACGCGGCGGCTGATCGACGAACATCCCGAATGGCGCATCCCGGAGATGAACCGCCTCCTCGTCGAGCGCGCGACCCACCCCGAAGCGCTGAACGCCATCACCGAGGAAATGGGCGAGGACTGGAAAGAACACGCCATCAAAACCGAGGGCGGCGAGATAGCGGACAAGCAGCACGCCCGCGGTCACACCGTCAAGCGCGACAAGTCGTTCTTCCATGACAATCGAGATGTACTATTCGTGAGCGACGAAGAAAAAATACGGACGCGCCTCGGCGACGACCGGATCGACATAGCCCTCGACCCTCCTCAGCCCAGCCCGTTCGACGCCTTGAACAGCATCGACAAGCTGGCGGTCTCGGTACGCTGGCTGCCGGACGGGGACGCGCCCGAGTCCGTAACCCCATCCCCGACAGACGGCGGCTTCACGTTCGCAATCGGCGACCGCCGCTTCGTGTACGACCGTTTGGGGCTTCGTCGCGCATAGCAACACAGCCCCATACGGTCAAAGACCCCGGGTCTCCGGGGGAACCTGCTCACGATGTGTGAGCATCGCAACGCAATGCGGTCTATCCCCGCTCCGCGGGGTATTGGCAGATGAACTTGACACTGTCTCCCATAGGGGATATGAAGATGCAAGAATTATTGGGTTGCAATGCTTAAGTTATAGACGGAGACTCAAAAACGAAAGGAGGGAACTCAGATGATCGACGATAGTACACGCAAGACCCTTATAGACATAAGAACATCGAATGGGACTGCGATCCCAGCACGACTAACCGAAACACCTGTGCGCATCGTGTTACACACGCCGCAGGTGTTGTGCCAAGTGATCGTAAACGCGGATCACCGAAAAACACGTGGAGAACTGGTGGGACGACGAGATGCTTAGCATTTTAACTGAACCACTCATTCGGATGGACACGTCCGACGGCTCCCGCGTCGCTGCGTCGCTGCCGGATGTTTACGCAGCGCTCATGGCCGACGAGGTGGAAGCCTTCCCCGCCCTCCGGCCGCACCAACGCCACGCATGGCACGCCTTCCTCGTGCAGCTTGGGGCAATGGCGATGCACAAAGTTGGCATAAGCAACCCCCCGGCGGACCCCGAGACGTGGGCCGACCTGATACGTGGCCTCACGCCGGATTCCCCGACGACGAACCGTGGCGATTCGTGGTGGAGGACATCACCAAGCCCGCCTTCATGCAGCCGCCGGCAAGCTCCGAAGACAAGCTGGCGGAATACAAGAGCAGCGTCGAGACGCCCGACGAACTGGACATGCTCGTTACGTCCAAGAACCACGACGTGAAGTCGGCTATTGCCCTCGCAAGCGGATACGATGACCTGATGCTCGCACTAATCAGTCTTCAGACTTCGGAGGGGTTCTCGGGGGCCGGCAACTACGGGATCTCGCGAATGAACGGCGGACTGGGCAGCAGGCCCGCGTTCAGCATCACACCATCCATTCGAACGGGCAAACACGTTCGACGTGATATCGCCGTGCTGCTGGAGCGTCGCGGCAACTTGCTGGACAACTCTCCCATGAGGGAGGAGGGCACCGATCTCCTCTGGACGGTACCTTGGGACGGCGCGAAGGTGGAGTCGCTGCTCTTGAACGATCTCGACCCTCTCTATATCGAGGTCTGTCGACG